TAAAAACATCCTCTAATCATAGGTAATCATCAAGTATAATTATCCTATATTTCTACATCAATTATACAGCATTAGGGCATCATTATTCATCCTTAAATCATTGATTCTCATCAAACAACAATGTATATAATTCAATCATAAACCAAACAACCTTTCACATCAAATCCCATATACGATTCATCATAAACCCTATTATAGAGTCAGAACCCCACCCTTACCTTGGATTGAAGGTTGCTCTATAACTTTTCCGATTCAATTTTGTTCTGCCTCTTTTCCTTCTTTTCTGCAACTTTCACGTTCTCTTTATCTTCTTCCAACCCTTATTTACTTCTCTTCTTACAATTTTTTCTTTTTCCTTATTATTTCTAAAAACTAATATAATAACCCTATAATTCTTATTATGCCTAAATGGGCTTAAGACTCCTACACCCCCCTTTCTACTACTACTATTCTTTAAAACAAGCCCACATCAAATAATATTATCATTCTAATATTATTCCATAACTTAATAGAATAATTAAATCCAATAACAACCACACATCAATTATTATCAGAACACAACTTCACAAATAATGCAAAAATAATTTAATTAAATAATTAATTAAATTATGGGAGTTACAAGTATGTCTAATGATGAAACACAAACCATTGAGTGTTAAATATAAAAGGGCAAATTTTGGGGTGCAATACAACTAGAATAAAATAAAAATTCACATGAAAAAATATGGAACGGTAAAACCTCTCATAGACAACAAACTCTAATGTCATTATCAACAACATTATCCCACTTAAAGGTAATATACTGAAGAAGAACATAAGATGTGATCTTTACTTCCCTATGTGATCTTCCCTAGATGAAATTCATTAGTAGAGTCCATTGACAACTAGATGAAGGACTTCATCTAGGCATCCCAGGTCTGGTTTGGATATAAACATAATGTAGATTTCCAGAATTCAGCTAGTAGTCATGTTACAGACTGGATAAAATATATGATCCCTAACTTAGACACTTACAACACATCTTTGTTTATTAGTATCATGTATAATATATGATTAGATAGAAATCAAAAAGTGTATGAAAATATAGACATACTAGTAGAGAAAATCCTAAGAAGAAGTAATCTAAAACCTTTAGCTTTCTCTAGTAGCAGAAGACTAGAAAATAGGACAACAAAGAATTCATTAATAATAAAGATCAACAAGGTGTCACCAAGTCAAAGCTCAACAAAAGCTAGAAAGATAGGATTCATATGAGTAAGGAAGAGCCTAACATAAATTGAAATAATGGTGCGAAGACCTCCAGTCTAAAAGGAAGCAGAATCCATAACAACTTAATAACCATATCAGACACATCTGTAAAGATGTTAACACAATCAACAACGAAAGTAGGAATGCAATTAGCATCCAAACTAAACATACAAGGAAATATGACAATAACCTGTTGTAAAAAATCATCTCAACATTGATAATCAAGGTGTGAGGGATCCAAATCAGCAAGGAAGGTATTTCATTAGATAGATAAAGGATAAAATCATAAACAACAATCATAATCAAATAGATAAAAAGAAGTTAAATTCTACCACTCTTGATGAGACAAACACCAAGGTGGCAGAGAATAATATGGGGAATATGAATAATAACAAGGAAAATGGGAGTACTCACAACAGAAAATCAAGGATTAGTAAGGATCATAAAGAAAAATACCAGACGTGAAAGATTAACAAAATCATGAGTTAGGAAAAATGCCTCGAGCATTAATCTAGAGACATGCAAAGTGAGAAGAGTAATTTGCATATGTAAAATCAAAATCAAAAGGATATCAGGATGAGGGGCGATCCCAAAGAAGGAAATCGTAACAATTTGAATGTGGGTTGAAGAAAAAATGTAAGTAATACACTCATTACCGTGATATTGAATGCTGCTTCAAAATAGTGATATTTGAGACATATTGCAAAACCCTAATAGAAGGTATCAACAGAGGCGATGAAGTTGATATAGCTATGTTTGGCAGGGTTTACAAATTTGTAAGAGAGCAAATGAACTAGTTCTAAAATATTCAATTCAGATACACTAGTAGAAGCAACAATATAACGGCCCTTAACCTAGCTAAGTATGCCAATAGGGCCCAAAACAAAATTTGGTTGGAGGAGACTCCCCTGATGTATTTTAGCCCATGTCGTTATAGATATGAGGCTCAGTTAATGGATTTTATTTTGAAACAAAAATATAGTATATATATATATATATATATATATATATATATATATATATATATATATATATATATATATATATATATATATATATATATATATATATATATATATATATATATATATATATATATATATATATAATTTAAGTGCATTTTCTTAGGTGTGGTTTATGCTTTTTTCCAATGAAAATATGACAAGTGTATAATTTCCTCTTACACATATGCAATTTCTTCCTATTTTTACTCCTTAAAAGATATTTAGATATATTTATCATATTTTTATTAGAGAAAAGTATGAACCACCCCTATGAAATTGTATCTATGTATTCTCCTATATATATATATATATATATATATATATATATATATATATATATATATATATATATATATATATATATATATATATATATATATATATGTATGTGTGTGTGTGTGTGTGTGTGTGTGTGTGTGTGTGTGTGTGTGTGTGTGTGTGTGTGTGTGTGTGTGTGTGTGTGTGTGTGTGTGTGTGTGTGTGTGTGTGTGTGTGTGTGTGTGTGTGTGTGTGTGTGTGTGTGTGTGTGTGTGTGTGTGTGTGTGTGTGTGTGTGTGTGTGTGTGTGTGTGTGTGTGTGTGTGTGTGTGTGTGTGTGTGTGTGTGTGTGTGTGTGTGTGTGTGTGTGTGTGTGTGTGTGTGTGTGTGTGTGTGTGTGTGTGTGTGTGTGTGTGTGTGTGTGTGTGTGTGTGTGTGTGTGTGTGTGTGTGTGTGTGTGTGTGTGTGTGTGTGTGTGTGTGTGTGTGTGTGTGTGTGTGTGTGTGTGTGTGTGTGTGTGTGTGTGTGTGTGTGTGTGTGTGTGTGTGTGTGTGTGTGTGTGTGTGTGTGTGTGTGTGTGTGTGTGTGTGTGTGTGTGTGTGTGTGTGTGTGTGTGTGTGTGTGTGTGTGTGTGTGTGTGTGTGTGTGTGTGTGTGTGTGTGTGTGTGTGTGTGTGTGTGTGTGTGTGTGTGTGTGTGTGTGTGTGTGTGTGTGTGTGTGTGTGTGTGCGCGTGTGTGTGCGTGTGCGTGTGTGTGCGTGTGTGTGTGCGTGCATGTGTGCGTGTGTGTGCGTGTGTGTGTGTGCGTGTGTGTGCGTGTGTGTGTGTGTGTGCGTGCGTGTGTGTGTGAATTTAAATTATAACTCAATCTTTAGCTATGAAATTAAACTCACATTAATATTCTTTTTCAAAGCCAAAGTAATAAAAATGGACTGGCTTGTTTGACATAAAAATAGATTTGTGTTCGATTTTGTTCATTTTTGTAGTGATGTAATTGAAAGGGCATGTGGCGTGGTAGAGATATACATTGGCTTATCGTCCTTTTAAGATCGTCCATTTCATGGTTCGAGCACCTGTATGTGGGATATGTCGCATTTTCTTCAGATACGTCGCCCAAATCCTTTATATTTCGTCCATATCGCTTGATCATGGGGATGACGTGTGTTTGATCCACAGCAACACATAAGGAGTTGTGGGAGTTAACCACGTTCCCTGAATATCACGAAATCAATGGTCCATTCCTTAAGTGATTTCTATTTTCAATGAGGCATTGGATCTAGGCCTAATACAACTAAAAAAACTTTAACAACACAGTTGAGGGAAATCTAACTATAATACAAAAAATTACACATATAGAGTTTCTCACTCCTATGTGAGTTATCTCTCAAACTCACAATAAAATTTAAATTCTGGGATAACTCTTAATCGCAAAGGTTTGTCAACTATTTGTACTTTTAACAAATATAAAATTTTAAAAAATATTTTTTGTCTAAATCTTGTTATTGTATTATATTAACTTTAAATAAATATATTAAACTAAATAATAACAAATAACAAAAAGAATAATAACTTATATTTTATACAAAAAGAAGAAGAATAAATATATGATCCAATATAATAACTATAAGATGCCTTATTAGACTAAATTATATATTGAATAGAATAATTGAATCACCATTTAATAAAATTTAAAATTTTAGTTGAATTTTTTTTTTATATTATGTTTATTTTATTTTATATATAACAAAGAAAGCTGCCAAATATATTTATATAATAGTTTTAATTACAGGATGATAACATAATTAAAAGAAATTATTGTATGAAAACACACATAAATTTATATTTATAGAAGCATTTAAAGAAAATTCCGAACTTATTTAAATTTTATTTTATTTTTAATTGAATTTATAAAATGATTGTGATTATAGAGAAAAAATTTATATTTATTTTTAATTAATTAAAAATTATAATTGATTGTATGTAAAAGTATTTCTAATCTATTTAAGAATTTTTTCATAATTAATTATGTTGTCATAAAATATTATTAAAATAAATAATTTCTTGAGGAAAATAAAAATATGAATATAGTAGCGAGTGTTTTAGGACCGCTTTAATTGATCTGCGCGAATCAATAAGTAAAGTTGCCCCCTAATCCGCCAAACATTACAAATACCACAAACAAACCAACAAAGTTGTTTCAATCTCGCTAATAATCTTGTCATTCTCAATCTTGCTCTATCCTCTTCTTGTTATGTTCAATTCTGGTTTAGTAACTGTTGCGCCCTAATCCACCAAACATTACAAATACAACAAACCGACAACGTTGTTTCGATCAAACAAAGAAACCTCTCATTTCTCTCTAATCTTGCTCTGTTCTCTTCTGATGGATCCACCACATTCGCCAGGTTTTGAGAATTCTGTTACGTCACCCCCCTCCTGCACCAAAACCTAATAAGAAACGGAAGATACAGTTTTTGGATGAGATTCCTCACATGATCACACTATCACATCATCATACTCCCTCACCACTCAGAAGACGCTTACAGTTAATGGATGAAATTATTGAGCTTGGTGAGATGCGTTTAGAGCTGTTTCGTCTCATTAACAACATCCAAGAAGCCATCGATGCGGAAAGAAAAAGGAAAATCGCAATCTTGATGTCATTTAGATAGTAACCAACAAATTATTATTCCTTTCAATTGATTATGCGTTTGTGTAATCTTTATCATCAGTTAGGTATGTTCTTTTATTTCCCATTATTATTTTGAATCTATGCTTCTATCATGATGAGTAGGATCAAACTCTATTTTCAGGTAATTAAAGGTAATGATGTATTTGTCTTTTCTTTTTTTTATTTGGTTCTTAAAATATGCGAGGTGCTTTGATGCATAAAAGGAAAACCTAAATCTCAAATTCTAGGAAGTTTGATTTGCTTCTCTTGATGCCAGGGGCTTTCATTTGGGACAGATTAAGTATCTCTTATGTTCTTCCATTAAATTGCAGTTTAGGTTCATATAAATACAATGCATTCGTAGAAAGTAATTCAATGTAACTAGATGGCAATTTCCAAAAGTAACTAGAACAAAATGACATTTAGTATGTGTGGTTGAGTATGACTTCCTTCCTAACTCTATGCCGTTCTTTAATGGAAGAACATAAGAGATACTTAATCTGTCCCAAATGAAAGATCAGTATCAGTCTTTTTATGCTTATTACATCATGTCTTGCTAATTCCATCTTTTGTTTATTCTAAAATGTTACTCTTTTCATTTCCCAAAATTATTTTGAAGTGATAACTTACTTGTTTGGCAGAGTCTTTGCAGGCAGGTACCACAACCTTGCTATGCTCATGTCATGAATAGATCAAAATCAGTCTTTAGGTCATTACAGGTAATGTTCATGTGTTGCCTCTCTATTTAGTTTTTACAATATATGTGAGGTGATTGTTTTGTTATAAATACTAACTACTGCATAAATATTGTGGCAGAATGCTACTTTCCAAATACAGTGAGTGATTGAGTTCTGCAGTTTATTTTGAGCTGTTCCTAGCACTTACTTTTTTTTATACTGGTGTGGGTGGTATTGTGTTTTGATTTTGAACTGTAATTCTGGAGTCCCAGCACCAAACCATATTAGGTTTTTCTTGAGGAGTTTGTCTAGTCCTACAAGAAGCTTTGATAATTTGCTCACTATACTGTGACACCGTACCACTATACTAAGATGCTTTGGGGATAAAGGTGCTTGACCAAATGCACATTAACTCATTGGTATCTCTATCTGTTATAGATTGATGAACTATTGTGGTTTTTAATTTATTTCCCTGTAGATTGATTGCTGTTAAAAATATGCTCTTGGGTGGTTCTAGCTTAAGGTTATCCTTTTCAATCGTCTTGCATGTACTACTAATAGATAGCTGATTGATCATGTTCTGTCATGTGTCGAATTTGCATACTGTATTTTCTGTCTAATTTTATGAAAATTTCTTAGACTATTTATCTCTCGTTCAACACCTGGTTTAGTTTATACCGATACTAGTTTTGTTTATATAACAAAAAGGCTGATTTTGCCCTCCAGGCCAAATGTCCTGTCATGCTTACTTTCATCACTTGTGACCACCAGACTTGTTTCACATAATTTAATTAATTCTCTGTATCTACTCCAATGTTCTATTATTCTCATATCCAACATTATTTTCTGGAAACCTCAATTTTTATAAGACCAATTTCATTTTATGTTTGCTTAACATAAAGTTTACTGGTAGATTTTGATATCATTATAGCATGTCATGTCATGTAACACTTGACTTGTTTTTGTATGAGCTTGCATATTAGTATTAAGAAGAATCTTGAGTGATCATGACATGATTGACTTGTTTTTTGTTTCACTGTTTCTTTTGGTCATATTAGATAGGGACAGCCAGCAGTTGAGGTTACAAATGAAGGCGTTGACGCTGCAGGGCTTGCAATTGGTACATCTTCGGAGGCTGTGTTCAAACTTAAGAAGGTTCTCAACCCCAAGCAAGTTCAGCTCAACTGAACGCTAAGAGATAAGTCGTCGTGCTGACAAGAGAATGAGTATCTCCTTACATGCACTAGTAGTAGTACTAGTTTATCAGATAATTCATTTTTTTCTAATTGATCTTTCATCATGTGTATTTATATACATGATTGAATTAATATACCCTGTAACAGTTATATTTTATGGTTAATCTTTCTCAGTTATTGTCATTTGATCGTGCATTGTTGGTTATTTTTTCAATTTCCCAACATTATTTTGAATCCATAACTAACTTGATCAATGGAAACTTTGTAGGTACCACACCCTTGCTATGATCTTGTCATGAATAGATCAAAATCAGTCTTGAGGTCATTTAGAGATAGTGTTTTTCTGCTTGCCTCCTTTGATTTGGTTTGATTTGCTTGAGCCAACATATTATTCAAGTTCAATAGTTGATTTCATTTTTCTAATTGATGTGTACAATTTTTATAAAATGTGGGCCTTTTCTTGATTTGAGCACTTTTTCACTTGTCTTAGGGACTTTTTGTGGGTCTTCTTGTAGTGAGCTAATTTACTTATCATTGCTTACACTCTTAATGTTAGGTAGAATTTGTAGGAGGATAACTTGAAAGAGGTCGTTGAATATTAAAATAATAGTTAATTTCTATTATGTTGTTGCATTTACTGTGATATGACGGTTAAATTGTTTGTCCCTCACATATCTTTCACATGGTTATCAATCATGTTTCTGTTTAGGTCCTATAGAATGCATATATGTTAATGTTGATGTTATGGTATTGTTTCTATTTCAATTTGTTTCCTTGATGAATGATCGTTTGATTTTGTTTGAGCTTGGCTTTAGATTATTTCTTCCATTGTTTGATTTGAATACGGTTTGTATTTTAGTAGTTGGATACTGTCGTATTAATTAATGAATGATGTGAATCTAAATTTTAATGTAACAATCTGATTTAGTTCAATCTCTTAAGCTCTGTTTTTTATTCTGGTTTTGATTCTGTTCTGGACTGGGCCCAGGTTGGCCCAAGAGCTTGATAGGCCCAATCCAAACGGCTCTACAGGGGGCGCGTCGACCAGGAGCTACGACCGTGCCCGCCACTGTCCACGGACACAATGTCTTCGACCAGATACCATCCAGCTCGAGTTCAGCTCGAGCACCCTCCTCGTAGGGCATATTGTAACTGTTACACCCTCACCTGAACTCCGAAAAGACCGCGTCCTCGTCCGTCCGTACTTCTCGCAGAGCACCCAGGGAGGAGACCACGTGTGGGTCCCCACTACACACGTAGAACCTGACAGTTCCTTTATTGGGCCGACCAGGATTGACCCAATGAAGGGACCTTGGCCCAGCGCGGGGGCTATAAATACCCTCTATTTCAAGAGGGTCAGGTATTCATTCTCTTACCATTCACACACCATTTTGCCTGCTCGTACTGCCACTTACTTTAGCATCGGAGTGCCTTGCAGGTACCCCCCATCTCGTTCAACTTCAGTTCGGAGCCAGTCGTGACGGTCCAAGTCTGATCAGGTAAGATCAGTGGCGCCGTCTGTGGGAAACTAACTTCCCCGTCTTGCAAAAATTCAAAGACCAAAGCTCAACTCAAACCATCACCATCATGGCTGACCAAGCTCGTGATGAACAGAACGTCTGCGTCGTCGACACCAACAACGGCCTCACGGATAAAAATGGACACCTTGATAACGCCAGTAACCCCGGTCATAACACCATCCCTGTGTCAACTGCCCCGGGCCCTTAATCCACCGCGACGGAGTTACCGCTTCATCCTCCTCGGTCCCTCCGCCACTCGAAGAAGACGATGCAGCTCTCACGAACTATCAAGCTGCTCAGTTTCAGGAAGTCCCTGTCCCCGCCGGGGCGGATGCCACAACCCGAGCGTTGTTCGCAGCGATCAATTAGACGAGTTACCTCATCTTCGCCCAAGGGGAAAGATTGAGGGCACTTGAAGACGATCGAAGACCCCCGAGGAGGCATCGGAGGCCCCAGACTCCACCTCCTCGGGTAACTGAGGTCCATTTCCCGTCTCCCCCGCGGAGACACTACGAAGATACCTCTCGAAGCCCGCCACCCCGACCATCGGGGAAACGGCCCCCTTTGGAGAGGCAACTCATCATCGAAGCCGGGGGACGCGACCGCGCCCCCGCAAGGCAAGAAAGAAGACACTCCGGATACGGACACGGAAGAATCAACCAACGGGCACCGCGCTCGAGAGATGTCCAGCACGACCAGGACCGTCGTGCCCGACATTATTACAGATCCCCATCCCTGTCCCCGGAAAGAAGCGACGAAGACGACCCCCGCGGTCCCCTGTCGCATGCCATCATGGAGGCGCCCATTCCCCCGGGCATGGAGAAGCCTCCGCATCTGAAGGAATACGACGGAGTCGCGGACCCGGTCGATCACATAGACGGGTTCGAGGCTATGCTGCACTATCACAACGTCGGGGGACCCATCAAATGCCGGCTGTTCCCCACGACCCTCAGAAAGGCAGCAATGGACTGGTATAAAGGCCTCGCCCCGGGATCAATCACCTCGTGGCGAAACCTGAAGAACCAATTCATCAGTTCGTTCACAGCGTCTCGTCGACACCCAAAGACCGAGGCGGCTCTCGAAGTAATCGTCCAAAGACAGGATGAAACCTTAAGAGAGTTTATCAATCGCTTCAACCGTGAAGCTATACAGGTCCCCTGTGCGGACCACATGAAAAGATATCTGCTGGAGAGGGGGCTCCTCCCCGACACGGAATTCAGAAAGGCCGTAGGCATCGAGCCACCTAAAACATTCGATGCTCTCCTCGAGAAGGCCCGGGCGTACATGGATTACGAGGAAAGAGAGGCGGCTAACAGAGCCCGAGACCCTAGGACTCGCGGGTCCAGCAGCAACCCGCGCCAGGAAACTGCTCCTCCTCGACGAACCGGGGAGAAAAGAAAAGAAGACAGACCCCGGGAAGTCCGAGAACAAAGGGGACCCTCGGAGCGTTTTACCGAGTACACTCCGCTCACAGCTTCCCGCGAGCGCATTTTGGCAGAGTGTGCCAGCACGGACTTCAAGGACGGCGGCGTCAAACGTTCCCGACCTGCTCCCGCCAAGCCCGGAGCAGACAAGAACAAGTATTGTCAGTACCATAGGAGCCATGGCCATCTGACTGAAGATTGCGTCCATCTCAAGGACGCCATCGAAACTCTCATCAAGGGAGGAAGGCTCGCATAATACCGGCGAAACGACGCTCCTCGTCGTGACGCCCGGGAAACAAGGGAGCCAGAGGAAGACGCCCGACCATCTGACGAGTCGGTCCCCGTCCAGACCGCCTTCTCCGTGACCAGACCCGAGGACTTCGACGTCCCCGAACATCTGCAGGAGCCGCTCACAACACACAGCAGGTGGGAATATTTCCCCTCCGCCATGGTCATCAACGGCGGAGGATTCAACGACTTGACCATTAATTCGGCTAAGAGGAAGTTGGATGAGCTGGTCGACGCGGCACCCCCGCAAACAGTGACATTTGAAAGGGTGAAGGGCAGGTCAGAGCCCATCACCTTCTACCTGGAAGAGCTCCCCGGGGGAGCCCCCAACGCGGTCATCCCCTTGATGATAAGGGCAATAATGGCCAACTTCGATGTGCATCGCATCCTCGTCGACGAAGGAAGTTCCGTCGACGTAATGTACAACCAGTTGTTTCGAACTCTGTAGCTGGACGACTCACATCTCTCGTCATATGTAGGGTCGGACTTACAGGGCTTCAACGGCTCAACCTCCAAACCTTGGGGATATGTCGAGCTCATGGTTACCTTCAGCGAAGGCACAACGACGAGGCAGGTTAAAATACGCTTCCTCGTCATCGACTGCCCGTCTCTCTACAACTGCATTATGGGGAGACCAACACTGGCAGAACTAATAGCGGTGCCCTCCACCGTCCACCTGAAGATGAAATTCTACACCAAAAGGGCACGGGTAGCTACCATCCAAGGAGACCTAGCCGCTGCTCGGAGGTGTTTCAACGCTGCATCTAAAGGGCGCGACACTGTCGACGTCGGGACAAGGCCCGCCAAAAGACCAGCGACGACACGACATGAGCTTGACAAGCCAGAGTCCGCCAAGGAAGAAGTCCAGAAACCTCCACCAAAAGTCGACTCTATAACCCTGGATGCTCGTTTCGATCAGGACGAACCTCCCAATGGCGAGCAAGTTCCACTCCGACCAATACCGGATGGGGATTTTGAGCTCGTCCCCCTCGGCACAGACCCGAGCAAAGGAGTAAAGATTGGCAAGGACCTCCCCGACCTAGCAAGGAAGCAAATCAAAGCCTGCTTGCGCGAGAATGCCGACCTGTTCGCCTGGAGCGCCTCGGAGATGCCCGAACTCGACCCTGAGGTCGCCTGTCACCACCTCGCCATAGATCATGCCGCTAAGGCCGTAGTACAACGTAGGCGTAGGCAGTCTCCAGAGAAAACAGAGGCTACTGAAAAAGCTGTAAAAGACCTCCTAGAATTTTATTTCCGAAGCCCGGTATTCAACCTGGCTGTCAAACGTTGTACTTGTTAAAAAGAATAATGGAAAAAGGAGGATGTGTGTTGACTATACCGATCTCAACCGGGCTTGCCCGAAAGATGCTTTCCCTTTATCGAACATAAACATGCTGGTCGACAACTTGACCGTCTACAAGACGTTGTCCTTCATGGATGCTTACTCGGGCTATAATCAAATCCCGATGGCTGTGGGCGACAAACACTGCACGACTTTCATGACCAGCTCGGGCAATTATTACTATAACGTAATGCCCTTTGGACTAAAAAACGCCGGAGCAACTTACCAACGTATGATGAACAGGGTTTTCCACAAGCAGATTGGGGACATGCTCGAGGTATACATGGACGACATGATCGTCAAATCCCG